CCATAGACTTTGACAGGCTGCAGGTAGCGAGGCTGAACACTGCACCAGTCCCTGGGGGCACTAAAATGCTGGGAAAGACACACTGCAGGTAGACGGCCCAATGTGCACAGGGCTTAGAAGTATCTTCAAGCAACACTCTGAGCAACTGAAAGGCAAATCAAAGCAACTCAACCACAAGTCAATACAACTCAGAAGAATGTGATTTGCTTCTGATGGGATGCCAAAGCAGAACAAAGCAGCAGCTTCATTTCAATGATGGCCTCCTCAGATATTTCTTCTTGTCTTCCTTTCATTCACCACTTGGTCACTGGGAATAAAAAAAAAAAAAAAACCTGAAATGAATAATGCATACAAATACCAAATAAAATGTTCTTAATAGTGGACTGTCCCTTTAAATCTCAGATATCTTCACGTGTGCTTGTGCGTTATATCTCCTATATATCGTGATCCAAATGCACCAGCAACAAGTGTCTCATAAATAAAATCTCAAAACAATGGTGAACCATCCCTTTAAATCCGCTGTATTGCCAAGTAAACTGGCAGGTACATCAAGCTGCAAACAGGAAGTGCATGTGCCGCCATTTTGGAAAAGGGATTCCTGAACATTGTTCACAAGACATACTGTATAGTGAGTTTTTATCTTGTAGTGTCCCCGGAGGACACTTTTAAATGTGAGTTCATTTTGATTGTTTTAATAAAGTCAGTTTTACTTGGCAATACTATACTATATGAAGCATTGTTTTTCATATGATTGTGGAGCGTTCTGGAGAATTTTAAAGTGCTGACGGTGGTGAAGATCTGGGTACCAGTATGCCCTCCCGGGTAAAGGGAAAAGCGTAGTTTGACCTGTTATTATGGGTCATACCTGGAGGTGAGCGCAATAGTGTGTTGGAGGTGGATGAGCACTAATGCCGTCCATAGACGGGTCGTTTATTGGCCAAATTTTCGTCCACACGAAAAATCGGCCAATATTCACGCCGTTAGTGGGGCAATGCCGTCGGCCGTTTTTTGCACATCTTCTCATTTTTATCAGTCATGCTGGAAAATCCACGAAAAAACGGCCGTTTTTCATAGACATTGGTGGCAGCATCGGCAACGACTGATTTTTCGTTTATCGGCTGACAATGGCCTGCATAAGGGGTGACACAGGAGCACCATATACAGTTGCAAGAAAAAGTATGTGAACCCCTTGGGATTACGTGGAGTTTTGCATGAATTGAGCATAAAATGTGCTCTGAACATCATCTAAATCACAACAATAGAAGAACACAGTCTGCTGAACATAATACTACACAAACATTAGATGTTGCCATGGTTTCATTGCACATAACATGTAAACATTCACAGTGCAGGGAGGAAAAAGTATGTGAACCTTTGGACTTAATAACTGGTTGACCCTCCTTTGGAAGCAATAACCTCAACCAAACGTTTCCTGTAGTTGCAGATCAGACCTGCACAACGATCTGGAGTAATTTTGGACCACTCCTCTTCACAAAACTGTTTCAGTGTAGCAATATTCTTGGGATGTCTGGTGTGAATCACTCTCTTAAGGTCATGCCACAGCATTTCAATCGGGTTGAGGTCAGGACTCTGACTGGGCCACTCCAGAAGGCGTATTCTGTGCTGTTGCAGCCATTGTTTTGTTGAATTACTTGTATGCTTTGGGTCATTGTCCTGTTGCATCACCCATCCTCTGCGGAGCTTCAGTTGGCGGACAGATGGTCGTACGTTTTCCTGCAAAATGTCTTGATAAACTCTGGAATTCATTTTCCCATCAATGACAACAATCCGTCTAGGCCCTGAGGCAGCAAAGCAGCCCCAAACCATGATGCTCCCTCCGCCATGTTTTACAGTGGGGATGAGGTTTTGATGTTGGTGCGCTGTGCCTTTTTTTCTCCACACATAGTGTTGTGTGTTCTTCCCAAACAACTCAATCTTGGTTTCATCTGTCCACAGTATGTTTTGCCAGTAGTGCTATGGAACATCCAGGTGCTCTTTTGCAAACTTCAAACGTGCTGCAATATTCTTTTTGGACAGCAATGGCTTCCTCCGTGGTGTCCTCCCATGTACTCCATTCTTGTTTAATGTTTTCCTTATTGTAGATGTGTCAACAAAAATGTTAGCATGTGCCAGAGATTTCTGTAGGTCTTTAGCTGATACTCTGGGATTCTTCTTTACCTCATGCAGCATTCTGCGCTGTGCTCTTGCAGTCATTTTTACAGGAAGACCACGCCTAGGGAGAGTAGCAACAGTGGTAAGCTTTCTCCATTTGTAGACAGTCTGTCTTACCGTGGACACATGAACATCAAGGCTTTTGGAGATACTTTTGTAACCCTTTCCAGCTTCATGCAAGTCAACAATTCTTGATCGTAGGTCTTCTGAGAGCTCTTTTCTGCGAGGCATGGTTCACATCAGACAGTGCTTCTTGAAACCAGTAAACCCAAAACAGGTGTGTGTTTTTTAAGGGCAGGACAGCTGTCAGCAACACATCCAATATCAACACACTGATTGGAGTCAAGGTTGGCTCACTCCTGGCTCCAATTAGCTCTGGGAGAAGTCATTAAGTTAGGGCCTCACACATACTTTTTCCTCCCTGCACTGTGAATGTTTACATGGTATGTGCAATTAAACCATGGCAACATCTAATGTTTGTGTAGTATTATGTTTAGCAGACTGTGTTCTTCTATTGTTGTGACTTAGATGACGTTCGGAGCACATTTTATGCCCAATTCATGCAAAACTCCACGTAATCCCAAGGGGTTCACATACTTTTTCTTGCAACTGTACGTGTATGCAGTAGTGTGATTACACTGACCCACTTGGAATACAGCGGATTTAAAGGGATGGTTCACCATTGTTCTGAGATTTTATTTATGACATACTTGTTGCTGGTGCATTTGGATCACGATATATAGGAGATATACCGCACAAGCACACGTGAAGATATCTGAGATTTAAAGGGACAGTCCACTTTTAAGAACATTTTATTTGGTATTTGTATGCACTATTCATGTCAGCACTGTTATGTGCAGTTCTATGGGTGTCCATGTGTATGCGTTGATAACACATTTGCTGTAGCACATATTGCCACAAACACTTATTTCTGTTTTCAAGCCGCAAACCGGAAGTGCACGTGCCGCCATTTTGGAAAAGAGATTCCTGTACATTTTTCACAAGACATACTGTATAGTGAGTTTTTATCCTGTAGTGTCCCCAGAGGACACGTTTAAATGTGAGTTTATTTTGATTATTTTAATAAAGTCCATTTTACTTGGTAATACTATATTATATGGAGCATTGTACCACTCTCTCCTCCCTCCTAGATTGTAAGCTCCAAGGAGCAGGGCCCTCGAACCCCTCGTGTATCTTATTGTATTGTTACTGTACTGTCTCATGTATTGTCTCCTATTGTAATGTACAGAGCTGAGCAAACTGTTGGCGCTATATAAATACTGTATAATAATAACAATAATTGTTTTTCATATGATTGTGGAACGTTCTTGAGACGGCCCGTCTATGGCCTGCATAAGGGGTGACACAGGAGCACCATATACGTGCATGCAGTAGTGTGATTACACTGACCCACTTGGAATACAGTGGATTTAAAGGGACGGTTCACCTTTGTTTTGAGATTTTATTTATGAGATACTTGTTGCTGGTGTATTTGGATCACGATATATAGGAGATATACCGCACAAGCACACTTGAAGATATCTGAGATTTAAAGGAACAGTCCACTATTAAGAACATTTTATTTGGTATTTGTATGCACTATTCATGTCAGCACTGTTATGTGCAGTTCTATGGGTATCCATGTGTATGCGTTGATAAGACATTTGGTGTAGCACATATTGCCACAAACACTTATTTCTGTTTCCACTATTCATATATACACGTTTATATTATTAGCACCATATTTGTGTTTATATTGCTGCGCTGCATTTTTTATTGATTTATTGTTTACATGTGGGAACACATTATATGCTAGCTGCACAATTTGTTTTGTAGGAGGTCTATTGCGCTGAGGGTTTTCTATACACATTGACAAAAGAAACTCCCTGAGAATGCTCTCTAACTCCTTTAATAGTGCTGCTTGCCTAGGCAGTCAATGAACAAGCATCAGCACTCTCAAGACAGGAAGACATGTAAGTCACATGCTCCCCATACCTGGAAGTACTGGGTTTATCTTCTGTGCTTCCAACAGCCAAAGGGCGAATGAGAGAAAACAGAAGTATAAGTAGTTAATGGGACTGCTATTAAAGTGAACCTTTAACCTCCCTAGCAGCATGATTATGTCCATATTTCTGGGCTGAAAGCAGTACTTTTTTTGCATGGAAATATGTCGTTTTTTTATTGTAGGCCTGTAATTTTTAGGAATAACTCACTGAAATCTGTCCGAACAAGAGTCTAGTAAACATCCCGGGTAGGATAAAATTTGAAACACAAAATCATAAATTCTAATATAATAAATAATCATAAAAAAATAATAATATAATAATAATACATTTTATTCTGTAATATAATCAAACCAAAAACACTGAAATTTGAAATATAGCGCCAAGTTCGCACATCACTGAGCAAAGTCGCAAAATCGTTTTCAGTGTCTGATGACGAATTTCCCCACGAATCATTATCACTCAATTCTGCAAGTGGTTCTGATTTACTATCGCTGTTCTCTAGCTGGTCTAAAACCGCTTTTGACCTAAAGGGACGCTTTTTGGACGCCATGGACATTTCTCAGTTTCCAGGCAGAAAGAACAGTAAAAATGCAGGCAGGGTACAGGACAAAGCACTCGGGACAAAATGTATGTGAAATGGTTTGATACAGTAATGTTTTACTATGTGATTTTAGTGTATTTAGTGAATGTCACTTTTTAAAATTTTAAAATTTCCCGCTGGTTACGCCCCCCGTACATCCCGTATGTCCCGATGCTTGCAGGGACCGGAAGACGGATGCCGGCATCGGCCGGAGGAGATGGCCGGGGATGCTGCAGGGGACACATCGCGGGAGCGCAGGACAAGGTAAGCGCTGGAGGGATCCCTGAGCAACGCCGCATGGTATTCCCGAGTGTAGCTCGGGGTTACCGCTTTTGGTACTGAAACTTTACCCCGAGCTACACTCGGGAATACCTCCAGGGGGGTTAAATGCATCTACTAAAAATAGTGGATAGATTTAGACAATTCAGTAGGTATCAGTCTTGTGAAAGCAACTTTAGACCCCATTCACACTTGAGAATTTTTCAGCTCGAAGCTTGATGCTCATTCAACAAGTAAAACTCCATTATTTCCAATGAACCCTGTTCACATTGAGCGTTCTGTCGCAAAACACCTGTCGCTCAAAAAAGTACCTGCACTACTTTTCAGGCAGATCTGGGCATTTTATCCCCATATACTTGAATGGAATGTGCCTAAGCAGTGGAAATGAGCATTATTCCAAGCCTTTTTTCAATCATTTTTTCAGGTGTTTTCAGCTCAAACAGCATCTGTTTCTATTTCTTTTGGCCACAGCAAAAATGCCTAAATGAAAAACTCCTGAAAAAACGTCTTTAATATTTGCAAACCTGCTCAAAAAAACACTTAAAGGCTCCTGAAAAAAAGGCTTGAAAAAGACCTGAAAAAGGCTCAGCTCAGTGTGAATGGAGCCTAGGCTCTATTTACACTAGGGCGTTTTTCAGTTCGATGCCTGACACTCAAACACTCAACAAACAAAATCCAAATCATTTCTATGGTTCTTGTTCACATCTGAGCGTTTTGTCACCTATAGCAAAATGCCCGTCGCTCAAAAAAAAGTACTTGCACTACTTTTCAGGCAGATCTGGGCATTTTGTACCCATAGACTTGAATGGAAAACGCCTCAACAGTGGTAATAAGTGCTTTTTCAAGCATTTTTTCAGGAGTTTTCAGCTCAAACAGCAGCTATTTATATTTCTTTTGGTCACAGCAAAAACGCCTAAATGAAAAACTCCTGAAAAAAAAGCATTTAATATTTGCAAACCTACTAAAAAAAAAACGCTCAAAGACTCCATAAAAAAGTGTTTGAAAAAAACGCCTGAACAAGGCTCTGCTCAGTGTGAATGGAGCCTAGGCTGTATTCACACTAGGCGTTTTTTCAGCTCGATGCCTGACGCTCAGAAACACTCAACAAGCAAAATCCAAATAATTTCTATGACCCTTGTTCACATATGAGCGTTTTCGTAGCCTATAGCAAAACGCCTGTCTCTCAAAAAAGTACTTGCACTACTTTTTTAGGCAGATCTGGGCGTTTTGTCCCCCTAGACTTGAATGAGCGTTTTTTTCAAGTGTTTTTTCAGGTGTTTTTAGCTCAAACAGCAGCTGTTTCTATTTCTTTTGGCCACAGCAAAAATGCCTAAATGAAAAACGTCTGAAAAAACACATGTAATATTTGCAAATCTGCTAATAAAAAAACGCTCAGACACCTGGAAAAAAATGCTTGAAAAACATTCAGCTCAATGTGAATGGAGCCTTAGAGACGTTATGGTAGACTCGGCCATAATCATCTCTTTTGGTTGTGTTTGTCTTTCATCCGTGATTCGCAGAGTTCAGTTTTATTTATTTTTATTTTTTTTCAAATTCTTCCGCTGTGTAAAAGCTTTCTATTTATAATGAAGCTCTTAAAAATGTTGTGATTTGCTGTGGTTGAATTGTTAATTGCGTGGGAACTTTTTCTCGGCCCCATTTGAAGTGTATGATTATCCAGAGCCAAAATAAACAAGAAATGAATCACAGTAAACTTATTTCCTTCGACTTGTTGCAGATAAATAAATTGCATTACTCAAAGTTATTTTAACTGTTCCACTGACAACAGAAACTTGGACTGACGAATGATTAGTTCCAAGTATACTATTGAGATCTAGCTTTGCCTTTCTAGTGGACCTGGTATTGTATAACCTCCCATGAATATTGGATTGAGATTAGATGTATAGCTGATATTTCCAGGCCCAAGACCATTTCCTCTGACTCCCCATGACTACTAGTGTTGTTGTCTGATACCTCTGACATAGGGTTGTCAGCATTTCCCTCAACCTCCCTGGCGGTATTCCCGAGTGTAGCTCGGGGTAAAGTTTCAGTACCACAAGCGGTAACCCCGAGCTACACTCAGGAATACCTTGCAGGGATCTGTTCTTCACTTACCTTGTCCTGCGCTCCCCCCGCGATGTCCCTCCTGCAGTGTCCCCGGCAATGTCCTCTAGCTGATGCCGGCATCCGTCTTCTGGGTTCCGTCCCCTGCGAGCGTCGGGACGTACAGAGACGGAGCAGCGGGAAATTTAAAAATGTGAAAAAAGTGACATTACTAAATACACTAAAATCACATAGTATCACATTACTGTATCAAACCATTTCACATACATTTTGTCCCGAGTGCTTTGTCCTGTGCCCTGCCTGCATTTTTACCGTTCTTTCTGCCTGGAAACTGAGAAACGTCCATGGCGTCCAAAAAGCGTCCCTTTAGGTCAAAAGCGGTTTTAGACCAGCTAGAGAACAGCGATAGTAAATCAGAACCACTTGCAGAATTGAGTGATAATGATTTGTGGGGAAATTCGTCATCAGACACTGAAAACGATTTTGTGACTTTGCTCAGTGATGTGCGAACTTGGCGCTATATTTCAAATTTCAGTGTTTTTGGTTTGATTATATTATTGAATTGTATTTATTATTATTATATTATTATTTTTTTATAATTATTTATTAAATTATAATTTATGATTTTGTGTTTCAAATTTTAACATACCCGGGATGTTTACTAGACTCTTGTTCGGACAGATTTCAGTGAGTTATTCCTAAAAATTACAGGCCTACAATAAAAAAAATACATATTTCCATGCAAAAAAATGTACCGCTTTGAGCACAGAAATACTGACATAATCAGACCGCTAGGGAGGCTACAGTGGTTGTAAACCTCAGACATGGAATATGAACAAAGCATATACCTGTATATTGTGTACTAGTCTCAATCCAGAGCACTAAGTGACACTTCTATCTACTGCCTCATTCCTCTGCTATCAGCATGAATCGCTTCTGTGTTTTCCTGACACCAAGAGAAAATGGTGGCAGGGAGGGTGCGGTCTGTGATTGACAGCCTCAGCTCTGTTCCTATGTGCTGTGTGGGGGAGGGTGTGTCCCTTCCCTCCAATCAGCTCTTAGATCTCTCTACTGAGTGTAACTTCAGCACCCTGCCCCCTGCTTCATAAGTCAGTGTGCCAAAAGACATCGTCCTGTGTATATCGGGAACTGTGCAACTGGTGCTATTCTCACCACATCCATTTCATCATGGACAGAAAGTTAGAACAAAGAGCAAACATGAAATTCTGCGTGAAAGCCATACACCGAAGTTTCATCACTGGTGATGATCCTCGACATGAGGGACGGGTCATCCACAGCATGCTGACCTATGTTCTTGGCAGACTTCAATGCAATGTTAATTCTGCTCATGGGTCAGCAGCCTGGGGAGGAACTTAGCAGCAATATGGCGCATGTTCAAATCACACGTGAGAATTGCCTGGACTGTTCCGTATGACACACCGACAATGTTGTCGATTGTTCTCTGACAATCATCATGCACAAGTTGCTGAATTGTTTCAACATTTTCGGGGATTGAGCTCATTGAAGATTTTCCTGATCTCTCATCATCTTCCAGTGATGTTCTTCTGCTCTCTTCAAGCACGCGTGCCACTCAGGACACCTCACACGACTCATTGCAGCATCACCGTAAACTTGCTGACTCATGTCAAACAACCCTATGGCAGATCTGCCCAGTTTCATGCAGAATTTCATGTTCTTTGTTCTAACTTGCTGTCCATGATGAAATAGCAGATGTGGCAATGCACGTGGTCAGAATTGCACCAGTTGTACAGCTCCCGATGTACACGGGATGATGTCTTTTGGCACACTGACTTATGAATGACGGTGCTTCCTGTGACTGTGCGTGCAGGCTTGTGCTGCCATTTGTTGGCATCTTACAAAACTATTCTCAGAAACTTTTTGATATCACCTCATAGACAGGTACAACTTATGTAGGAGGATTTGTTTAATATCTGTGTATCACCAAAGGCCAGTCTTATTTTCACTGTCTGTATGTAAGGGCTTGCAGCCACTTTAACCACTTCCTGACCACCCTATAACAGAACTACTGCTACAGGGCAGCAGGGCTGTGCAAAATCATCTGTATATATACGTGATTTTGTATTTCCAGGTAGGGGGTGCGTGCGCCCTACCTGTGCCGCCATTGGCAGCTTCAGCTGTTGATCACTGGGTCCTGGCTGGTAACTCCCCACCAGCACCCGGCAATCACCAAGGAACATGGAGAGAGACCTGTATGTAAACAATACAGGTCTCTCCCCTGTCAGCTCCAGCATATTGCTTTGTATGGCTCTGCATAGGGTGGAACATGTTCCCATAGCCACACCTGCCGCCCCCCTTCCTCCCCATATGGAATAAAAATATAATTGAAATACTAAAATTCTGGCCATATTCAATATATTTCAAAATATATTTATATATATATATATATATATATATATATATATATATATATATATATATATGCTGCATGTTGAAATGCATTTTTATTACAAATTATATGAAAAATATTTTTTAAAATACATTTCAAATATACTATATGTCTTTAAAAATAAAAAATCTACATTTTTGGAATGCATTTACAAATATATGTTAAAATGACTTTTTTATATTTAAAAATATATCTGAAGAATATATTTAAAAAAAGTATATTTTTAAGAATATATACTTTTTAAATATATTCTTCAGATTTTTTTAACATATAAAAAAAAAAGTCACCTTTACATATATTTTTATATATATTTGTAATTGCATTCCAAAAATGTACATTTATATTTTTAAAGACATACAGTATATTTGAAATTTATTTTTAAACATATTTTTGATATATTTTGTAATACAAACGCATTTCAACATGCAGTGTATATATATATATATTTTTTTTTATTGAAATATATTTTGAAATATAATGAATATGGGCAAAATTCCAAAATTATAGTATTTCAAATATATGGCAATATATTTGGGAAGAATATTTTTAAAATATATTTCAAATATATTTTTCTTCCATGTGGGTCTGACAGATTTTTTTTTTTTTTAAGTCCGCAAACGTGCAACTATAACGAAAAAACCCGTAAGTGTTCACAAAAAAAGTGCAAGTGCAAAACACCACACGAAAAAGTGCACTTAGGGGTGTGCTGTGTCCTACCCCTAAAGGGGCTTGGACCGCTTACCCTGATCCCCCGGGGCACGAAGCTCCTGACGGGGACAAGGTTCCCAATTGGTCCTCCTGGCCAAAAGGCCTGGTGGACCACCGTTCCCTATGCCCAGCCGAAGCCGGACATCCAGTACTAGGCAAGGAGGCTCTCCCGAAGAAGAGCCTCCTAGGGATCAGGGGAGGAAGGAACCGTATGGCCACACATCCTCCCCCTAGACTTCAGGGTAGGCCCGAGGACCCACACCCTCCATCCGTGAAAAACACACACATAAGGCAAAGAAAAAGTGACAAACGTGGGTAAGTGCGTAATAAATAAGAGAAAGAAAAAATAAAAAAGTGGTACCGTGCCGAATTGTGCACAGACCAGGCCCTGAGGCCTGTAGCAAAAATTGCCCTGGACTTAGCCAAAAGGCCTGGTCCTTAGGGCGCTGTGCAAAAAGGAGTGTAAAAACAGTGACCAAGTGTCATTTTCACACCGTGGGGTCCCACACCCAAGTGTTACTAGTGACACCCCTGAGCGCGTCTCCCCAGGGGGCACTGAGTTTGCGGACTTTTTGCCTCCCCAGCCCCTGGCCAGACCGAGGTAGCTTGTTCAAATCAGGAGGTACTGGGTCTTTCCAGTCTTCCCAGAGGAATTACTCCCGGGGCCCCAGCTTAACTCGTGGCGCTCCCCGGTTTCTGTCCCTCCGGTACTAGCCTTCCGGACCCCCATCATTCCAGTGAGGGTACTATACAACAACCATCCCCGCAAAGCTAGAATGGTCGGGAGCACCCCCACTGGACACTGATAAGAACAGATACTACACTTGATCTTAGCCAAAAGGTATGTGGGTCTGACAGATAGTACGGGGAGAAGTTTCCATGTACTATCTGTCAGATTTGAAAACAGTGTTCTGTGAATGAGTGCCTACAAGTCCCGGCAGCTTTAGCGGCTGTGGGCTTGTAGTTTTCAATGAACTACCACTGCACTGTGGAGCGCCGTGATAGTTCATTAAAGCTTCCTGCCAGTATATCTTCATGCCTGTCCATCCCGTACGGCAAGCAGATATTCTGACAGGTCGCCAGGAGACCTGCATGACGTCAGTGATCTACTGATCCCTGGTGCAATGCTTTCCAGGCTCCTTTGGACAAAAATAATAAATGCACATTTTTACCTGCAAAAAAAGTGCATTTATTATTTTTGTCCAAAAGGTAAACTTGTCCTTTAATATAAATGCATCTGTGAAGGTTCTTATTTACTTCTTGTACCCAGCAGGTGGGGAAGTTGTGGGGTTTATTGAGTGCTCCCAAATCTATTCACAACAGCATAATGGGGGACACATGTATAGTTATCAGTTAAACTATGTGTGAACCCTCACTTTGTAAAACAACCCATTCACTTTAAAATAGAAATGAAAGACAAAACATATATGTACTTTATATATATATATATATATATATATATATATATATATATATTGTAAATACCTTTTCCCCCTTTTTTCTAAGTGATCACATACCCTCTGTTCTCAGCTGCATAAGGATCTTTGAGAGCTGGGGGGGGGGGGGGGGGGGGAGCAGCACACTGTTGGCATGTTGGCAAGAGAATAGGATACTTTTTCATACACGTCCCAGGAGCATTCTGTGTTGCATGCTACTTTGTAAAAACAAATACTATAAAAATAGCTAATGAATTGTTAAAAATCAGTATATAAACTTGTGCATACAAAAATACAATAGACCAAAACATCATAGTTTCTCGGGAAGTCTATGTTCTAGATACACATATAATACATACTGAGTTAATTGGGTTCCATATGTGGGTTCGGCTCATGTGAGACAGTCAACACAGGATGTCCTTATTTATTTTCCACAATTTTCAAGAGTTCTAATTTTATCTTTTTGTAAGGAAGCACATTCCGGGGTCAGAGGCTGAGGTCAGGCACAACCTCTTGAAATAAATGATTTGATTCTGCAAATAGACAGATTTCTGTTCATAAAGGAACATTAAGTGGCATATTTATAAAGCAGTGAATCTGACATTCACCAAACATTCACTATAGGTATTGCTGCATGCTATCAGCATAGATCTCCTGAAGAAGATAAGGTGCGTATGCAGAAAAATAGAGGTTGATTAGTGTCGGGGTATCACTTAGGCATTAGGTTAGTGTTAGGCTTTGGGTTTCAGTGCTTTAAAAAAGAACTCCAGGCAAAATTTTGATTTTCTCATGCAGTGGGGCCGTGCCTGCACTGCATGGGATAACTGCTCGTTTTCTCCAGGGGCGCAAGGAAAAGCTAAAAGCTATAAAGGGGGGTGGACTCATGCGCTGCCAAAGATATAAAAACGAAGAAGCTGCTGTCACCTAACTAGACACCTAACTAGACTAGAATAGATGAAACAGTGCACCTAATGTGTATCCCAAAAACATGCCATCAAGAATGTGATTGAATATACCGTATTTTTCGCTCCATAAGACGCACCTGACCATAAGACGCACCTAGGTTTTAGAGGCGAAAAACAAGAAAAAAAAATATTCTGAACCAATGGACTGCAGACATAGTACAGGAGATGATCAGAGACTGCGGACACAGTACAGGGGATGACCAGAGACTGCGGAAACAGTACAGGGGATGACCAGAGACTGCGGACACAGTACAGGGGATGACCAGAGACTGCAGACACAGTACAGATGACCAGAGACTGCGGACACAGTACAGGAGATGACCAGAGATTGCGGACATACTACAGGAGATGACCAGAGACTGCAGACATAGTACAGATGACCAGAGACTGCGGACATAGTACAGGAGATGACCAGAGACTGCGGACATAGTACAGGAGATGACCAGAGACTGCGGACACAGTACAGGAGATGGACCAGAGACTGCAGACACAGTACAGGAGATGACCAGAGACTGCGGACACAGTACAGGAGATGACCAGAGAATGCGGACACAGTACAGGAGATGACCAGAGACTGCGGACATAGTACAGGAGATGACCAGAGACTGCGGACATAGTACAGGGGATGACCAGAAACTGCGGACATAGTACAGGAGATGACCAGAGACTGCGGACATAGTACAGATGACCAAAGACTGCGGACATAGTACAGGAGATGACCAGAGACTGCAGACATAGTACAGATGACCAGAGACTGCGGACACAGTACAGGAGATGACCAGAGACTGCGGACACAGTACAGGAGAAGACCAGAGACTGCGGACACAGTACAGGAGATGACCAGAGACTGCGGACACAGTACAGGAGATGACCAGGGACTGCGGACAGTACAGGAGATGACCAGAGACTGCGGACACAGTACAGGAGATGACCAGAGACTGCGGACAGTACAGGAGATGACCAGAGACTGCGGACACAGTACAGGAGATGACCAGAGACTGCGGACATAGTACAGGAGATGACCAGAGACTGCGGACATAGTACAGGAGATGACCAGAGACTGCGGACACAGTACAGGAGATGACCAGAGACTGCGGACATAGTACAGGAAAAATACCAGGGACACAGTACAGATGACCAGAGACTGCAGACAGTGCAGGGGATGACCAGAGACTGCAGACAGTGCAGGGGATGACCAGAGACTGCGGAGAGTGCAGGGAATGACCAGAGACTGCTGACCTTTGGGGAGGGAGGGGGAGCGGGTACCTGAATTTGACAGGTACCCGCTCCCACTTTTGCGGTGTTGTCCTTCCCTCTTCTTCCTGCGCCGGCTTCTCTGACAGCCAGGTGCCCACTGCGCATGCGCGAGAAGCGCTGCGCTTTGTGAATGGCCCGGCGCCTTCTGGGACCTGTGTTGTGTCCCAGAAGACACCGCACCATTCACAAAGCGCAGCGCATGCGCAATGGGCACCTGGCTGTCACAGAAGCCAGCGCGGGAAGACTGTGCAGCGCTGGAGTGAGGAACAGGTAAGGCCCTGCAGGAGAGAACAGCTGAGCGGCCGGCCCGGTGTTCTGACATGGTGGCGGCAGAAATACCGGACCAGCCGCTTTATATTCGCTCCATAAGACGCACTGACATTTTCCCCCCTTTTTTGGGGGGAAAAAAGTGCGTCTTATGGAGCGAAAAATACGGTAAGTGATAGGTGATTTAAGTGAAACAAATATCAACCAAATATAAATACATGTGATCATAAATGAACAATATTCATAAATCATATAGCACAAAGTCCCAAACGTATAACTGTGATGAATCAATCTTTGACCGTGAAAATTAATATGTGCTCAAGTGCATCAGACCAACTGTCACCGTCTAGCGTGCGTGCTTACCTCCAATCTTTGACCCTCAAGGAGCATAACAAATCACCAGTTAGTCCCAGGTGGGATGAATCTAACTCTCTGGATGGACACAGGATCAGATTCCACACAGCCCACGGTTAATCAATCATTACAATGGTAAGGCACCTTTGAAAAACTCCTCCACTCTCCCAATGGCTCATAAACAGGGAATCAGAGAAAATGCCACTATAGTGCAATAGGGTAAAGTTTATTATATCATACACAAATGCCAAAGACCTACTCACACATTAAAATCAGGTCATAGACCCACCAGGCAGGAACTGTATAACCCACAGTCAGGGTGCTTGCATAGGGAGTCCCAAGATGGCTGCCACCCGTGCGTAATTGCGTCACCACGCTCTAGTCTGACATGTTGCGTCACGATAACTCCAGGGATCCAGAAAACAGCACTCCCCCACGTCCAGCAGTGGACTGCTCCTGCCGTCTTCACATCGAGATCCAGTCTATGGGCGTGATGTTGTCAGGAACAGTCTATTCACAAGCCAGGTAGCATGTTAGGGGGCAGGAGCAGTGGGGACTGGTCTTGTGCTCTGAGAATCAGTGGATTAGGTAAGTATATCTCCACTCCGCAATCCCCTAGACAAAAATGAGAAATTAACCCATGCAGTGCAGGAACAGTCACACTGCATGCGGAAATAAAAGTATTGCCTGGAGTTCTTTTTTAACGGTGTTTTTGGGGGGGACGGTTACTGTGTTAAGGGCTCATTTTAGGGGTTAGATATACTTCTAGAGTTAGGCATAGTTAAAAAAGTTCTGCACTCTTGTGGCCAAAGCCTGCTGTTAGATGACGTTAAGGAGCCAGTCCATACTCTGCAGGGATCCTGAGAAAAATGTTGGGATCTCCCCAGATGCCTGACTAGCATCTGGCTCAGCCTCTCAGCATGCTGCTGAGAGCCTGACCCAGCCACTCCCATCCCCTTCACAGCCCATCACTCCAGTGAGCCCTGGAGGAGCAGAGCACAGAGCAATGACGACAGTCACCGATCTGATCACTCAGCTCTCATTGTAGAGTCAGTAGAGGACAGCTGCAGCATTTATCCAGCTAGGTGCGTATGCATGTTTGCAACATATTTGTTTTATTCCCGCACTTCTCTTTTAAGAGTTATTTAACAGGTTTAGGATTAAAGAGGACCTGAATTGTAGAATCTATGCCCAAAAAAGCAAGCAAAAGTCAAAGACTAGTCACCATAAACAGTATTGTCTTTGTTTTCCCTGCAGCTGATCTTTTTGCCAATACTGTCTTACCATGCCCATTTCCACACTCTGTCTTTTTTTGTGGTGGCTATCTTGGTAGAAGCAGATCTTTGCTACTTCACCTCAAAGCTGTTCCACTGATGGCATAAATGCCACCTGTCCTGAATTTGCTGGGGCAGTTCTGCATCTTGGCCCTCTGTCCCACAGATGCTCTGTCCTGGGCCATGTCCTCAGATCACAGAATCAACCTTATTTACATTACTGCACATGAACAGTAACACAAAAAGGAATTATTTGCGGGGATTAGGGCCTCAAGTGGGTGGTTCCCTCATATTTAGAGGTGGAGCCTGGGTGGGACCAATCCATAAAGTGGGCTTTGTAGATGGTGCCTACATAATGAGAGGTGGAGTCTGGGCAGGATCAACTCATAAAGTTGGTGTGATTTGAGCGCCCAACCTGGAATGTGGGGAAAGTGGGTGGACGAATTGTTAACTATGGGTATGATTAACATTGTTCCAGGATCGGGGACCATAATGTTGGTATGTTATGTCTATTGAGGGAACATTGAGGATGGGTGCAGGATACAAAGATCAACAGACTGGATCAAACAAAACCAGTTAGATCATTGCACTGCAGGTACTCAGAGTAACAGTGAGCAGCACACCAGGGAAAATCTCACTCAAATTTTCCTAAGACTAGCAGCCAGAGGCAGTACTGTGATGATCTCACTCTTCAGAGACTATATAGGCTATATGAATGCCTAGGCACACTCACATGTCAAGAAGTGAACTGCTATTTTTTGGGACAAAGGTATATTTTTGAGGGTGCTGCTTAGTTGTACAGGCATACCTCGGTTTACGAATGCCTCGTTTAATGTAATTTTCTGTTTACGAATGAAAATCCATTGAAAATAATGGCTCGGTTTACAAATTTGTTTCGCAATATGAACAGATTCATTGGTTTTCAATGCATTTACAAATTTTTTAATCGTGTCCCTGTACTGTACTATGCCTTTAAAGTGCACTTTATAAAGAGTTTTGAACAAAGCTTTTTTTTAAACTTTTTTTTTTTACATCCGGAACGGATTAATTGGTTTTCAATGCATTTACGATTTTTTTTAATCATGTCCCTTTATGCCTTTAAAGTGCACTTTATAAAGAGTTTTGAACAGATAAAACTTTTTTTTTTACTTTTTTTTCTGACCTCCAGAACGGATTAATTGGTTTTCAATGCATTTACAAATTAATTTTTATCCATGTCCCTGTACAGTATTTATGCCTTTAAAAGTGAACTTTATAAAGAGTTTTGAACAAATAAAAGACTTTTTTTTACTTTTTTCTGACTTCCGGAACGGATTAATTGGTTTTCAATGCATTCCTTTTTTGGAAATCAAGTTTCGGTTCAGCAGAACGACTTAAATTCGTAAACCAAGGTACTCCTGTAATTACATTTTTACATGTTCCCTACAAGACAGCAAATGTTAATTTTCGATTTCAGCTCTGCTTTCATTTTGCTGTATGGGGAAATGGCTAAAGAGCAAAGCCACTTTTGTTGAGAAAAAATAAATCCCTTCTGGGTGAACAATATACATTTCAGGGATTTTAACAAACTTTGTTGCAGATTCCTACCTGTTTCTGCTCTGAAGGAATAGCTGTGTATTTCACCATGTCTTTTGCATGCTGATTCTGAAATGGAGTAACCATTTCATTATAATCAGTTGTGCTCTCTCAGTTTTCTGATAAGAAGTGCAGGAGTCTTCATCCCTTTAAAAGTAATTATCCCTTTTGGAGTATCTAATCAAAAATAATATTTTTGTTGCAGAAAACTTTACTCATACAATTTATTGCCAAACGTATTGGGACGCCTACCTTTACACACACATGAACTTTAATGGCATCCCAGTCTTAGTCCGTAGGGTTCAATATTGACTTGGCCCATGTTTTTTACAGCTATAACAGCTTCAACTTTTCTCTGTCCACAAGGTTTAGGAGTGTGTCTATGGGAATGTTTAACCATTCTTCCAGAAGTGAGGTCAGGCACTGATGTCGGATGAGAAAGCCTGGCTCGCAGTCTCTGCTCTAATTCATACCAAAGGTGTTCTATCGTGTTGAGGTCAGTACTCTGTGCAGGCCAGTCAAGTTCCTCCACCCCAAACTCGCTCATCCATGTCTTTATGGACCTTGCTTTGTGCACTGGTGCGCAGTCATGTTGTAACAGGAAGGGGCCATTCCCAAACGTTTTTGAGCATGAAATTGTCCAAAATGTCTTGGTATGCTGATGCCTTAAGAGTTCCCTTCACTGGAACTAAGCGGCCAAGCCCAGCCCCAGAAAAAACAACAACCCCACACCATAATCCCCCCTCCACCAAACTTTACACTTGGCACAATGCAGTCAGGCAAGTACCGTTCTTCTGGCAACCATCAAACCCAGACAAATCCATCGGATTGCCAAACAGAGAAATGTGATTGGTCACTCCAGAGAACACGTCTCCACTGCTCTAAAGTCCAGAGGCGGCATGCTTTACACCACTGCATTGTACTTGGTGATTTAAGGCTTCGATGCAGTTGCTCAGCCATGGAAACCCATTCCATGAAGCTCTCTACGCACTGTTTTTGTGCTAATCTGAAGGCCACACAAAGTTTGGAGTTCTTTAGTTATTTACTCTGCAGACAGTTGGTGACTTCTGCGCACTGTGCGCTTCAGCATGTGCTGACCCCGCTCTGTCATTTTATGTGGCCTACTAGTTGCTGTTGTTCCCAGTTGCTTCCACTTTGTTATAATACCACAAACAGTTGAGTGTGGAATACTTAGTAGCAAGGAAATTTCATGGATGGACTTATTGCACAGGTGGCAACCTATAATGGTACCACACTTGAATTCACCGAGCTCCTGAGAGTGACCCATTCTTTCACAAATGTTTGTAGAAGCAGTCTGCATGCCTAGGTGCTTGATTTTATACACTTGTGGCCATTGAGGTGATTGGAACACCTGAATCCAA